AGGCTAGCACTCTACCACTTTGATCCACAGCACCACTTCTCGTTTTCTGGTGGTTAATCTGGAGATAAGAGTCTTGTGGACTTTCCTGCCCAGGATGGCTTTGAATTGTGATGCTCCATCTCAGTCTTCTGAGTAGCTAGGGTTATTGATTGGTGTGAGCCACTGGCACCCGGCTAATTAAATTACTTTTCATTTAGCTATACTGGGGCTTCAACTAAGGACTTCTCAATTAACTTTTTTTGCGCAAGTCTAGCATTTGAGCCACATCTCCACTTTCAGCTTCTTGCTGGTTAATTGGAGAGAAGAGTCTCAAGGATTTGTCTTTGTGGGCTGCCTTTCTACATCCATCCTCAGCCTCCTGAGCAGCTAGAATTATAGGCATGCGCCATCTGCTCCCTACAGGCACAGCTTTAGAGAAAGTCCCATTAAAGGGACCTACTTAAGGTCATGAACCGATTTCTTAAGACTCAAGACTGGAGAATCTAGCTGACTGCAGCTAGTAATTTAATGTCATGTACAGGAGCTTCTTGGTATCAGAGATCCTGATTTTTTTTTTATTCACACAGGATTAATGCAGTATCAAATGGACAAGTCCGGGGTGATAGTTACAGTGAAGGCTGTCTTGGCCAAACAGGTGAGTAGGTACAAACATCTTACTACTCGTGCTTTCTTTCTTTTCTTTTTTTTGGGGGGGGGAGGGGTTTGCTGGTACTGAGACTTGAGCTCACAGTACTCTTCCCTAGCTTTTTCACTCAAGTCTGACACTCTACCACTTAAGCCACAACCCTTGCCATTATTTTTCAATTATTTTTCAGATAGTTATTTTATGCTTCCTGCTGGATGACAAATGTACACCATTATATGCAGCTTTTTATTGGTTGATAAGGCTTCACAAACTTTTTGAGAGGGCTGGACTTGAACTGAGATCTTCTGATCTCAGCCTCCTAAATAACTAGGATTACAGGCATAAGACATTGCATCTGACATTGTTGTTTTTAATATGGTACAATACATGTAACATAAAATTTACCATCGTAACCATTCTGATAGGCCATTCAGTATTAATTAGTAAAATTGTATTAAAGGGGCAGGGAAGGTGGCTCAGTGGTAGAGCGCTTGCCTTGCATGCATGAGGCCCTGGGTTTGATTCCTCAGCACCACATAAGCAGTAAAAGTTGGACGTGGTGCTGTGGCTCAAGTGGTAGAGTGCTAACCTTGAGCTGAAGAGCTGAGGATCAGTGCCCAGGCCCAGAATTCAGGCTCCACAACCACACAAAAAAAGACTGTATTAAGTACATTCACAATGTGGTGGGCCAGTCTCCAGAATTCTTTGACCTCACAGAGCCGATTAAATCATGGTTCTGCATTTCAGTGCTTGGCTGATAAAGGCCTTTCTTGCTCATCTGTGGACTCTAAGCCCCTAGACTCCATGACTGTGTGCCCAAGGTGGGCACAATACAGGGCAGAGGGCACAACTTCCTTCAGTTGAAATGATGACCCTCAATATTCCATTCATATAAAAGTAAACCCAGGTAGGCAAATATCATATGCCGGGGCTGGGAAAGTGGCTCAGTGGTAGAGCACTTGCCTCGCATGCTCAAGGCCCTGGGTTCGATTCCTCAGCACCACATAAGAAAAAAGCCGGAA